ACCACTATGATAAACATGCCTTTTTTCATGTGTTCAGGCAACTAACCTTGGAATCAATACAAATGTACTAAACATCCAAATCACACCTATTTCTTTCTTTATTTTTTTTTTCATTTCCTACTTCAACTGTTGTTTGTTAAAGCAACAACTTAACATAGAAGAGGATAAACCATTATATAACAGCTTCACCACATAGCTATCATTATTTAGAGTATATACACCCAAGTCTCCTATCTTTACGTTACACCTCGCTTTCAGAGTTTCCTCACATATTCTAGGACAACCAGCATCAGGAAACTAAACTTCTTGAGCACTTGAACTTCAATGGGGTATAAGCTCTGTTTGGTTATAAATGATGAGACAAAATAAATAAACAAATAAACAAAAATAAGATAAAGAAAATATGTCATCCTTCTGCAAACATCTGTTATTGTCGAGTCTAAATAAGAATATTATGAAGTTCTCACTGCCAGGTTTACATAATTTTGAGATGAATCAAAAACAACACTATACCACCAATAACCAGACCTACTTCCTGCTTGTTTCCTAAACTGGACTGAATATTACAAATCTAGAATGAATGTAAACTGTAAAACGTTCTGGGAATTACATTGAAAAACAACATCATCAACAACAAAATTGCCAAATGAAATTACCTATGAAGTAATTGGAAGACTATGCATTAACATCATAAAAAAAAGAAATCATTTGAGCCCAAAGCAACAACTGGAAAACTGTAGCTCATTAAGATGCATATACATGGAAGAATGTAGTCGAAAGTATGGCTTTTCAAATCAGTGTTAATTTCTATTGTATTTAGGTTTATATGCAAAATGAGGCTGTAAGGTTGACAATGTGCTGGTGCTTCTCACTCTATTTTCATTCCATTTGTACTATAAAAACAACCAATTTAATCACAAAATTCCTCATTAAGTCAAAATACATGCATGGTATGGACTATAACTGCCAAACTGCTTACCCTAAAAAAAGGGGCAAACATAAAAACAAAATGAATGAATAAATATTTGCCACCACCACCTTTATTCCCTCATCTCCTTGTAAGACAAATCTATTTCAAATCTGAATAGAAAAAAAAAAAAAAAAAATCAGTGTTACTCTCTCCAGCAGATGTCAGGAAGTCCTTCCTCTACCAACCTATATGTTGAAAACTATAGGTACATATTTTCTTTTTGATTTCTGTACTGACTAGTAGTTACACTGATCAAAGTCACTCAGCATATTATTTGTCTACATCACCCAAAATATGAATATCTGACTATTGTACATATGATCTGTGTAGGTTTCTGAACCCCTTTCATTATTAAAAATATAATAAGGAATACTCTGTCTAACTTTCATAAAACAAACTTTCCTTCACAAATGACCTTATGCACAACACTTGTTCAAAATACTCATCATTACTCTAACAGGATATGAGATCCATACAGTAGTATCTTATTTGTGTGTGTTATGTTGAAATACCATTAAATGATAGCAAGTCTTTTGAATTATAACCATTTGTGATTATGGACAGCTACTTAAAGATTCATGATACTCAAATAAAAGTTTGAGATCTTTTGAGACATTTCCCTTTTCAAAGGAGAAAAAACCCAAGTTCAACATAAAAATCTGCAAATCTTCAACGACAGGTTGAACCTCACTTATCTGGCCTTCTCTGGTCCAGCAGCTTTGATGGTTTGGCAGTTGTGAATTTGCAAGACCAATATTAGAGTGGTAATCAGTAAACCTACATTTCACTGGTGCAGAAAATCTGCAACTATTGCACTGGTCTAGTCCCATCTTGCTGAATTAATGGAGTTCAACCTGTATTACATGTAAAACAAAGATTCAAAATAGCTTAAGCACACATTTGCACCTATATAAATTTTTCATGACTAGCAATAAATATAACTAGTTTTCATTAGGATCTATTTGAATACCTTTGTATAAACACAAAGGTGTTTCTCATTAACAATCCTTTCTAGAAAACATCCTGCTGTGCTCTGAATTTACATTTAAAAGGTCCCACTATTCATTTTCATATATTCTAACAAATGCTTTTGCTAACTCAGTAAACTGCCTAGTACATTGTGACTTATACAATACCTTTTTTCAACAGTAACAATCTTAAAATTATTGTCTCCAGTTTCCACCACAATCGTTATCCTTAATGACTGTGATGTAAAAACCATGGTTAAAATTCACTTATCTCCCTATATCAAAATGAATAACATTTTATCATATATTCCATTACACTTTGAACAGTCCTTGCATTATGACCTCAATTTCCCTAAACAGTCATAGTATGTATACACAAAATGTATACCGTGTAAATATTTCTACAAACATTACAAAACTGCCAGGACCCATAAACAGAATAAGAAAAAAAAATTCAGTTATGCAAATTTTCATCCTGCTATATCTTCAAACCTGTATCACATTAATTTGTACACATTTGTAGTCCTGAATTACTTACAATCAATCCTTAAAAAATTATTCAATGTTACCAGATGTCTCATTATTATATTAAATAACCATTGACTAACATTTATCATCACTGGGTCCTGACTGTTAAACACCTAGGCCTATTCAACTTTGAAAAAAAAAAAAAAAAAATCAGTGTTACTCTCTCCAGCAGATGTCAGGAAGTCCTTCCTCTACCAACCTATATGTTGAAAACTATAGGTACATATTTTCTTTTTGATTTCTGTACTGACTAGTAGTTACACTGATCAAAGTCACTCAGCATATTATTTGTCTACATCACCCAAAATATGAATATCTGACTATTGTACATATGATCTGTGTAGGTTTCTGAACCCCTTTCATTATTAAAAATATAATAAGGAATACTCTGTCTAACTTTCATAAAACAAACTTTCCTTCACAAATGACCTTATGCACAACACTTGTTCAAAATACTCATCATTACTCTAACAGGATATGAGATCCATACAGTAGTATCTTATTTGTGTGTGTTATGTTGAAATACCATTAAATGATAGCAAGTCTTTTGAATTATAACCATTTGTGATTATGGACAGCTACTTAAAGATTCATGATACTCAAATAAAAGTTTGAGATCTTTTGAGACATTTCCCTTTTCAAAGGAGAAAAAACCCAAGTTCAACATAAAAATCTGCAAATCTTCAACGACAGGTTGAACCTCACTTATCTGGCCTTCTCTGGTCCAGCAGCTTTGATGGTTTGGCAGTTGTGAATTTGCAAGACCAATATTAGAGTGGTAATCAGTAAACCTACATTTCACTGGTGCAGAAAATCTGCAACTATTGCACTGGTCTAGTCCCATCTTGCTGAATTAATGGAGTTCAACCTGTATTACATGTAAAACAAAGATTCAAAATAGCTTAAGCACACATTTGCACCTATATAAATTTTTCATGACTAGCAATAAATATAACTAGTTTTCATTAGGATCTATTTGAACACCTTTGTATAAACACAAAGGTGTTTCTCATTAACAATCCTTTCTAGAAAACATCCTGCTGTGCTCTGAATTTACATTTAAAAGGTCCCACTATTCATTTTCATATATTCTAACAAATGCTTTTGCTAACTCAGTAAACTGCCTAGTACATTGTGACTTATACAATACCTTTTTTCAACAGTAACAATCTTAAAATTATTGTCTCCAGTTTCCACCACAATCGTTATCCTTAATGACTGTGATGTAAAAACCATGGTTAAAATTCACTTATCTCCCTATATCAAAATGAATAACATTTTATCATATATTCCATTACACTTTGAACAGTCCTTGCATTATGACCTCAATTTCCCTAAACAGTCATAGTATGTATACACAAAATGTATACCGTGTAAATATTTCTACAAACATTACAAAACTGCCAGGACCCATAAACAGAATAAGAAAAAAAAATTCAGTTATGCAAATTTTCATCCTGCTATATCTTCAAACCTGTATCACATTAATTTGTACACATTTGTAGTCCTGAATTACTTACAATCAATCCTTAAAAAATTATTCAATGTTACCAGATGTCTCATTATTATATTAAATAACCATTGACTAACATTTATCATCACTGGGTCCTGACTGTTAAACACCTAGGCCTATTCAACTTTGTGCATTTTTTTTTTCTGTTGGTGTTTTTATATGCATATGTTTATTTAAATAAAAAAGCTATACATGCCTCATGTGTGTGTATATGTGTGTGTGTGTGTGTGTGTGTGTGTGTGTGTGTGTGTGTGTGTGTGTGTGTGTGTGTGTGTGTGTGTGTGTGTGTGTGTGTGTGTGTGTGTGTGTGTGTGTGTGGGTGTGGGTGTGGGTGTGGGTGTGGGTGTGGGTGTGGGTGTGGGTGTGGGTGTGGGTGTGCGTGTGCGTGCGCGTGTGTGTGTGTCTGCATCTGTATTTATCATGCTTAATTAATCATTCATGTGTGGTGTGTGCGTGTTTACACATGTGAGTTAGAGCGTGTGTGAGTAAGTACATGTGTCTGTGAATATGCGTGGGTGAGTGTGTGTGTGAGTGTGAGTGTGTGCGTATGCTTATGCATATGCACATGCGTGAGTGCACATGTACATGTGTGTGTGTGCATTTGAGTGTCTGTGTGTTTACATTTATGGCATCCAGGAAATACAGGCCCATAAATATATTCCCTCAGCTACTGTGCCCACAACAGTGCCACCCTCAACTTTTTCAATTTATTATTATTAATCTTACTGTCATTATCATGTATTCAATTTCCATCTGCTCTGCCATAAATCATTTTTTTCCAGAGTGACAAAGTTTAATATCTTCAGCTCACTTTTTTCTTCTTTTTCTCATCATGAAAACCATGTAATTCCCTTTGTCTCTAGACCCATTAACCCACTGCTGCTAAGGATGTCACAAGTGTAGATGCTATGTCCACCGAGACTTTTCTTTATAATTGCACTTACACATCTATGGCTCGACAAAGGCTTAGTCACCTAGGAGTCAATTACTAGTCCTACTTTTCATTTTCTCTTTTTCTGGATTTTTTTTTTTTTTTTTTTTTTTTAATGCTATTAGTATTAACAGCATTGGAAACAACCATATTTCCCAAAAAATCAAGGAATGGGGAAATCAGGTAAGATTAGTTAGGCCTACTAAATGACTCTTTCAAGACTACATGCTTACAGAGTCATATGTGTAAACAAAATTTACATAACGAAACTACATAGGACATTACATGTACCTGGAGGCAATGGGTTAAGCTCATTACCATACTATTTCTTTTGCTAATGCAAACACATACTAAGATTTAACAAAGATGTAATTTTTTTTTTTTTTTTTTGAAGCTCAAAATCACTGGTCTTCAAAAAACTGCAACAAAGGATAGTGCCAATTGTTCATACAATAAAAGGTGTTTGCATGCAATAGCATTTAACCACTGAGATGATATATTTCTTCAATTCCTCCCTTCTGTTATGCATAGTCATAAGAGACAACTTGAAGTGGATTTTTTGTGAACCATATGTGACTAGTTTATAATCTTATGGGTTGTATAAAATAGTTGAGTGAATGTTTTCTCTTGTTTGTTCACATGTGTATTTTTCCTGTGAAGAAGGTTTCACTCTGTAGCTTTTCTGGAGGGGGCACCATTCATGAGCTGTGCTTTGGGCATCAGTTTGTCTAAACCCAATCTTAATGTGCACATCTTAACATGAGTGTGTTTACATACACATATACATATTACTCCAGTACATTATCTATATTACCTTACCTCACTATTCTGATATGTATACAGTCTACCCCTTCCTCACTACTCTAACATTCATAATAAAACAGTATACCATTTGCTCATTGTACTGATGGTTCTTCAATGTTTGCTCTCAAGGTCTTTCTTTCATGCTCATTACACTGGAATTTCCATTAGTGCCTGCAGCTCCAATGGCATTCAGAGATTTCTGCAGCTCCAATGGCATTCAGAGATTTCATAAATGCAACTGCAGTATTTTTCTGGGTTATCTATGACTGTAAAACCCACTTACTGGTTACGTGATATGTCCAGTTGAGCAAATGAACCTTACCAACTCGTGCAGAACATTTCTTTTTGTTTGTTTGTTTGTTTATAGTTCTAACAATCTGCCAGTGAGCACAACAGCACACATGTTACAGAATAAATGAGTGAAAGAGAGCCAAGTGATAAAGCACTACATTACAAGGAAAATCACTGGAAAAGCTTCTGTGTTGAATCCCTGGCACAGATGAACAAAGAAACTTCATTACTTTGTGTTTGTGCCGAGTGAAAGCCTCCCTCTTCTTCTTCTCACTGTCGTTGTAACTACATCCAAAAAATACAAGAGACTACGAATAATACTTACATAACTTATTCCGTGTTATTAGCACTTCTACCAGGCACAATAGCTATTTCATTTACAAAACAAACACCACATACAACTACCTTTAAGAATCACATACATTTATCTTTATTGTCAATTTCATCTTATCATTAAATTGATCTACATATTCTCATAAATGTCTCACTTACAAACTATCAGAATTGTGTGACTACACAGGACTTTGCAGAGAAGTCCATATGCAAGAGAAAAAAAGTTAGCTACAATCACCAGACTGAAGATGTGGGCCTTTTATCATCAATACTAACAGGTGGGCTTCCTACCTATGCACAAAATAATATTGAAGAGATTCATGATGTCGTCTAGAGTATAGAATTCTAAGCTGAAGTGTTTAAATACGCTAAGAGTTGATTAATCACATTCAATGAGGCACCTGAACAATAAGGAAATGTGTAATAATTTATATGTGCAATCACAGAATCTACAACAAATAATTTAACAATATACCAGTACTAATACAGTACAATAGAATACAATAGTACAGAAAATATATACTAATACTTACATAAATACTGCATGACTAAAATCCAAGACTAGAGTTGCATATGTAGAAGAACTGTTACACCTTTATGAGCTTGTAACAAACTTTGTATAACCGAATCTCATGACAGGGGGCTATTCCTACTTAAAAGTCAACCATCATTCTGACCCTTTCCTGCGCTACTTCCTGCAGGCTGCTTTGAATGAGGCTGCATTAAATTCCTTGAAGTACACCTGTGGCTTCAGGTAATTCTCTAGACTTCCAAGACTGCACAGGTTGATGCTGCCTCTCTTCACACCACCGAACTTTAATTGTTTTAGTGTGATAGTGCCACAGAAGGGGATCAGCTTCGTTATGTCCTTTCCATTATATACGACTCTAAAGAAATAATTACTTCGCTGGTGCGTATCCTGTGAATTGGTGGTGTTGTGGTACACTTCCAGAATAAGCCGAGAGGCGTAGTGTGGCAGCGGATAGTTGGGGATGGAGAGGCTGTCCAAGAGGTATTTGAGGGTCTTGTCATGGCCCGAATACACTACGGCACGTGGCCTGCCCTCACCTATCATTCCATCTATAGACACCATAATATTTTTCAGCATTCCATATGACTTTAATTTTGCAGCCTTGCGTTGGGCAGATGTGCGTTTTTGCTTGCCTTCCCAGTCTGCGTAGGATATCAGACTTGTGACCTCCTCTACCCTGACACACTTGCCTTCATTACAAGGCAGGGAAGCTCCATGACAGACATACGAGAGAAGGGCATCTTGCATTACCAGAGGATTAGTGATATCATCTGCCGTAGGACTAGCCTTAATGAGGGGACTAAGTCTGCGAACTAAATCCATGACCCCCGGGTGCGATTTGCGGTAATCCCGGCGCTCTTGCTCATATTTCTGATCGTAGAAGTCAATCTTGTCGCAGCGGCACTCATTCTCACAGAAGCTCACTCCCTTTCCATCCCGAATACGGATTTTGGAAATATTGAAGCCAGGAAGGAAGGCATAAAGAAAAGCCAGAAGGCTCTGGAATGTGCGCCTGTACTTTGTGCTGTATACAATGATATCATCAAGTTCTTGCTTGCTGCCAATTAGATTTAATTCATCAAAGTAAACTTCCTTCAGTGCTTTCCCTAGTTGCAGGTGCTGGGCAACACCCTGGGGCGTTAAGTGTCCTATATTGCACTTCGAAGGAGGGGGAAGTAAAGGGTACTTCATGAAGGGTCCTACAAAATTGATATAGGTATTTGTCTTAGACGTGTTGAGTATATCACTAACATACTTCTTGTACAGAGGTGTCCCATAGCTCTTGTGACCACAGTTTATGCTTGACAGATTGCTTACCGGCAGCAGAGGCCCACGATCCCCATGGCGGAAGGCAATTAGTACCCCAATCAGCTCATACTGTGATGGCAAGACACCTGTAATGAATAAAAGATGAATTTAAAAAAAAAAAAAAAAAAAAAAAAAAAAAAAAAAAAAAAAAAAAAAAAAAAAAAAATCAAAGCTCAACATCGTAACCACCCTAGAAGCCCTTCAAAATTAGCTAAAGCATAACATAAGATAAAGCTGAACGAAGAAGAGCAGACACCAATTATTCCTCTCAAAAGAATCAACAATATACGTGCAAAAGAACTCACTGTCTTTTTATGTGGTAATTGAATGTTTTACACCATTATATTAGTCACACTTTAGTTTTAGGCCTAACATGAATAATACTAATTTTCATGTTTTCTTTGTTTTTCATTTTTTAAAAAATCCTTCATAATAACCTTTCACTACCTGAAAAAAACAATAAACACTCAAAATTACTGTCATTCCACAGCTTTGTTATGACTGTAAATGGAAATATAAGATAAAATTCAGTACCTATCAATTCAACAACAAATTTGAACTAGTCTAGAATGCTGACAATAGAATCTAGTTAATAATTTTTCTCAGCAGCAACTCAAATATGAGAAGAAAACATTCTCACTCCAAACAATAAATCCTACAATATAAACACAGTACAGCATCATTCCCATGATATTCTATCCCAGGCTGAAGCCAGAAACACAAAATACGGACCTTCTTGATGTCGCTGTATACGGTCGGGAGGATTGCATTGGTGTCGTAGCTTCTTACTGCGTGGCTTGTCCTGTTGCAAGACCTGGCCTGACACCGGTTGCATCCCCGTGTTGACCACAAGTGGGGGAGGTGGGTGTGCCGAGTCCGACTCCACTCGCCAGTATGACACTGCCAATGAAGGGATGTTCATGTTAACTTGTAAGAATGAGGGTATTGGAAAAGAAAAAGAGAAAAATCTGCTTATACTATAATGATCCAGACTCACTGCCATACCTTGCATGTCTTTTATTTTCTTGAATATGATAAGAAGGATAGTGGATGAGAACAGTTAATACATATCGAAGCATTAATTTCACTAAAGAAAATTATATTCTTAAATCCACTTGGGGATTTATTTGTCATATGTTAAACTGAAAATATAAAAATCATCCTGTATATTAAGTTTTCACAGTCTGGTCGATTTGTTTGAAGACTTAAATAGTAATTATGTTCATAAGCCCAAAGACATTTTTGTTCTCAACTTAAAAACACAAAACAATATCTACAAACTACTGTGTCCATGAAAACACACGAAGCAACACCAACACCACTTCACCCATCTGAACCAAAGGAAAAGAGAATACAAACATTCTGCAATCATACAGAAATGAACAGCAACACACTCACAGAACAGGAGCAGGATCCCCAGCCAGCCCAGGATGAGTATGTAGCACCGCAAGACCTTAAACTTCTTGTGCCACCTCATCCTGCAGCACGACACCCACAGACAGCGACCCAGACCCAGCACTAGCCTCGTTGTGACCTTGTTTGTGTGACCGTCCTGGATTAACTGGGATACGGATAAAAAAAAGAATAATAAGTAAATAATTGGTATATACAGGAATAGTAATATAGGTATGAGAAACATTATATTGGTTTATTTCAAAAAGGAGAGAAAATTATAAGAATAGAGTAAATAGGGGAATAGGGGGAGTGGAAAGGGAAAAGGAGAGTATGAGAGTGAAAGCGAGAATGAGAATGAGTGGTTTCTGGTCACATTAAACAATAAAGATTATTGTGAAATATATCCCGGAACATAATAAATACCATT